AATTCCAGGAAGAGTATTTTATATAAAAACAAAACATTTATCCTTTCTAGACCATAGTTTTCTAGTCTCTATAGAATGATGGATTTGGACTATCCTACATAAAGACATACTTTATTTGGTTTCCCAGCAAAATTGAAGGATTTAACAGGCAGAAAGAAGTGAATGAATATTCAATAAATAATGAAGAGATGTAAAGTCCCTGAAAGTGTGCACCTTAAAGAATGTAGTTAATTGATCTTAATCACGGAATAATACAACTGGATGAAACGTGAGGAATCTTATGGCCCAGAGAAAGTTTAATTATACTGCCAAAGAAAAAAAAGTTCCAGTCTGTAGAAAAGTCAAGGTTAAAACATAGCCCTTTTGATAATCAACTCAGTCACCGTGTTGTTGGCTCAATCCTGTGAAGACAAGTTGGATATAAAAATATCTCATTCTAAGCAATCAAGTTGGAAGTACTGAGAAGTCTCCCTTTGAGTACTCATATTCAGTAGAGCTTTGTTCACAAATAACATCTTCCTGGGTGAACTCACACAGAAGACTTCTCTAGATGCATTTACTAGGTAATCAGCCCTGTGTCAGCAAATGTTTACTGAGTGCCTACTCCAAGGCAAGCTCTTTTCTCAGTACTTGGGATACAGTTATAGATGGGGGTGAAAAAGGCAAACAAAAACAAAATCCTATCTTAATGAAGTTTACACTTCAGGAGGGGGAAATAGACAAAAACAATTAACATAATAAGTGAGTAACATAGTAATACTTGGGGAGAGACAGTGGCCAATGGCAGCACTAAGCCAGATGGTTAGAAGGGTTCTAACTGGGAAGACAAGGAGATGAGGGAGTTGGCCAAGAAAATATATTGTGGAAGAGCAAAAGAAGCAGCTAGAACACAGTCCTTAAGGCTGGAACATACCTGATTTGTTCAGGGTTCAGCCAGGAAGCAATGGTGACTGAAGAGAAACGAGTGAGCGGGCAGATTACAGGCGATAAGGTCAGAGAGCAATGAGCTCAAACCATGAAAGATTTTGTAGTCACTGTTAAGATTTTCTCTTTTATTCTGCTGTATAAAATATGCTAACTATAAATATTAAGATCATATTTCTGCTTACAAAATCTCAGTTATATTTTACGCACATAGCTGTTAGCCTTTATGTATTTAATTGAAGACGGCCTAACCCAACTGGGGGATGTGTCTGATATTTAGATAAAGAGCCTGAGAGTGGACTGGGTTATGCTAGGGAAAATAAACACCTCCTACTCTTTCGAGTGTGGGCTGTGTACTCTCCCATGCTTAAAGATTATTTCCCTTGCTGAAGAAAAATAACCACATAGTATATAATTAGGGTAAGGCGACAGTAAGAGGGTGGATCCTTGAGTCACAATGACCAGAACGTGAGTCATGGCTCTGACATAAGCTGTGCGTTTTTGAACAAGTCATCTGACTTCTTTGTATTGTGATTTATCCATCTGTAAAATGTGGATACTAGTATTTATGTCCTAAATTTATTGTGAAGAGTAAGAGAATGATGCACATAAGCACTTCGTCTCTGATACGTAACAAGAGCTCAAAAATCAGTAGCTTTTATTATTACGTTCTGCCATCAATTTCAGCGTTATACTGTCTTTATAAAGCACTGGTCAGGATATTTTTGCTCTTTTTCTCAGTATTTACATAGTTTTTAAAATGTCTATCTTCTGTTCATTTAACATTTTTGAAAATTCTGTTGAAATGCTTTTTCCTCCTGTCATTTTTATCTGTGTACTAAATTCCCTGCTCCTGAGGAAAATGAAGCCCTTTTCTGCAGTTTAGTTTCTACTCCCTGAAGTTCCTTAGCTACTCTGATGTCAAGATGTACAGCACTATGTATGGTTTGATGACTGAATCATTGTGCATTTTTGAAAGAACTACCTCTCCACACAGCACACTCTTCCTGTCCTACTCACACGGTCCCCTCCAGCCGGGCCGGGTTCCTGCCGGCTGTCCACACAAAAGCTTCCTTTCCACCACTTTGCCCTTTCCTGCCACCTTCTGCCACTCTGTCTGCCCTTTCTCCCTCGTACAAATGTCTTATCTAAATCTTAAGACTTCCATTTATTTCAAGGCTTGTGTCAGGTGCCATAAGTACGTGAGCAAAACACCACCTCATATCTAGTTCTGAGCTATTCTTTGGGTATGAAAGGGAAGCACGTAAAAAGCAAAAGGCGGAAGACCAGGAATCATACGCTTCTTAGAAGAGTCAAGTCATAAGTAAGAATCAGCACTCAAAACTGTAAGCGTTTGGGTTCAGCAATGTATACCGTCTGTCAAATCTCAGTGAATACACAGTTAAGATTTATGCCTGTCATAGTCTGTATGTTTTATATCAAAAAAAAGGATGTAAACATGTAGTCTTAGCTATAATATACAGAGTGAAGTTTAATATCTGCGATTTACTTTGTATTGCATCAAAGATGGATTAATAAACAGATAAACAGAGAGATATGGGATGAAACAAGTAAAATGTCATGGTTCAGTCTAGATGATGGGTTTCCAGGGCTTCACTATAAAAGTACTTTAACACTGCTGTGTGCTTAAAACTTTTCCTTAAAAATGCTTTTTTAATGATTTTTTTTTAACCCAGAAACTCTGCCAACAGGAGCAAATATTCACAATCCTGTTTGTGTTCCTCATTGTCGTGACATTGAGGACAGAACACAATGTTTCAAGTATAGATTGTACTCTTCTCTTCAAAGCGTAAAAAACAATTTCTTTGATCTGAATACCCGTATCTATCATCACACCTTCAGATAAGGTGGGAACATTGTCAAAAACCGGGTCACACTAAACTTATAACCTCTAACTATCCTCAAGTACTTTTTTTTCCACGCCAACTGCTGCCAAGTCACATCTTGGTCAGTTCTTCTCCTTTTCACTGGCTTTTTGAAGCTAAGTTCCTTGCAAATACGATGCGGTGTGTCAATAATTAGGCTTAAGGGAAGGGGCCTTAGCTGGGGGCTTTTCTGTGCCAATGTAAAGGTTTCTTGAAGTGGACACACAAACTCACACGCACACTCTGAAATGAAAAGGGGAACAAGAAGGGGAAAAGGCTAGAGAAAATAATAACTATGATAAAGACTGAAATCATTCACCACTAATAAGGAAACCAATCCATTTACTTTTTCCCCTGGTCTCTGTGATAAGTGCACAAGCATTAACACATTTAAATTCAGCAAGAGCTGTGAAGCTGTAGCCCCTTTTATAAAAAGGAAGCCTAAGGTGGAGAGATACAAATGACTTGGCCATGATCTTATAGTCAGGGAATTTCGGGATCTGTATTTACTCAAGATGGTTACATCAATCCATGTTCCTAAACTGCCTTTCACATAATCATAGTAATTTGAGCGACTCGGATGTAAGGGCTGTGTCAGAGGGATTAGTCATATGTATCTGTAGACATCATAAATAGAAGTACTCATATTCAACAAAGGCTTAAACAAGTATGTGGAGAGGGTGACATGCATGTGCCATAATACCTAATACGTGAACAATTATGTTAGTTTTTTGTGATGAGGCTACAGTTCTGAGAAGGCCTGGTTCCAAGGGGCTACTAACTCTAAACCAGGCACTTAGTGAAATGCTCTTTCTTTCTCTGACTTTCCTTTTTTACTTTCCCAGAGCTAGTATTCATGACTTCACAAAATTTTGGTTAATTACATTTCTGTGGCTTGACTTAAGAGGAAGTAGAACATATTTTGCCTTCTCTGGTTGGAAAAAATTTAGACCTAGCCTAATAAGAAAAAGGTAGCTTGTAGGCTCACTAC